TTTTCGTACCTTCCCCAGTAACGCACTCCCTCATCAGTACTCGGTTGTCTCCTAGCCCTCTAGTGAACTATTATCTGTCTTTCTTCTCAAATGTTCTACCTGTGATGCAAATCCTTGCCTATAACACACTGTCTGCAATGATTTGTGAGTTTATCATAATTATTCTGTATTACAGACTGACAATCTTGACCCAGATTTGAAGAATTTGTTTGACACTGTTGGTATTTCCGAATCGCAATTGAAAGACAAAGAGATGTCTAAATTCATATATGATTTCATTGAGAGTCAAGGCGGTGTGGAGGCTGTTAAGAGAGACCAAGAAAGAATTAGGCAAGGAACTATAAGTGGTGAGTTTTTTTGTTTTTTTGTTAGTATCTTTTAGCGTACTGTAAAATACTATATTTTAGCTTGGAATTAATTTTTGCTATTTTCGCCAAAAGAATGATTCAGTAAAAATAAAATACATCAAATGTACCTTTTTTTCTGTATTTTACATTCAACCCGTCAAAAATCAGTGAAAATCAGTTCCATACAAAACACCCAAAAAGTGAAAATTAATTCCAGCTAAAATAAAGTATTTCACAATTCATCTTATTCCAGTGTATGAGTTGGCCATTTGACTTTATTTTATAATTATATATTTTTATTTTCAACTGGCAATAAGCATACGAACAATGATGAAATGCAAGCCCTAGTCGCCCTGTTCTTTGCAATTGTACTTTTCAAGTACATTAAAATTCAAAAATAAGCCATTTAATATTACAGAGAATGATGGGCCTCACACATTAATATATTGAAAAGATCCTTACTCACACAAATCAAATGTTTGTAAAAGTGTAGCTGCAGTGATACTGACAACATTAGCTTTAAAAAAGGGGAGGAGACGTTCATGTCTTTGGAATATAAGATAATAGGCTAAGTTACAATTCATGCTAGAAATATGCTTGACAAATAAAACTACATAAAAGTGTAGCAACAATGAATATAATAACAGTATAACACTATGTTTGTTTGGCCTCAACTTGGCTGACCACTGAAAAGTCAATAAAGTCTCGCTCGCTGAACCTCGCTATTCCTTCTGCAGTGTACACATCAACCAATTGCATTTCCCTCCTAATTAAATGTACCCTACAAACTCATTATGGTAGCTTAGCCTCTCTATTTGATATGCAGGCTAATGAGACATCACATACTGTCATGCCGAGATCATGTCATGTCAGTCTACGCAGCTTACCAAACAAGAATGTAAGCATGTCAAAACAACTATTTATGCTGTGAAAAACAACTACTTGTAATATATGTCATGATGAACCTTGTGAAAGGGTTTTAAGACGTCTCTGTAATATTTGTCATCAACCAAATTAATCAATGAAGTAACTAGTATACAGTCCAAGCAAAAATAACTTTTTCTCACTCGATGATTTTATGATATTAATAATTTTATTAAGATGTAAAAAATAATTGGAATCCAACAGAAAATATGTATTTGTGTTATGAAAACACATTTAAGATAAACCACTGCTCACTTGCATTTTTAGTTCCTGTTCATATATGGTCCAAAAAGGATGACTCGTAATAATATTTCACTTCTGCACCTGTACCTCAGACATGCCTGGGCTGATTTCATTCAAACTTCACATCATATCATATATATGCACATGCATTTATTTCATGATCCAATTCAAGATGGCCAATAATGGTCTTTTCAGTGCCATTTTGTTTTTGCTAAATGCTGTTTTAGTAGCCATCGTTTTAATTTTTGCTGTTATTTGAGCATTATCTCAATATGGAAAAGTACTTGTTTAATGATCAGATACAAGATGACTTGATCATCAAGCATCAGCTTCTGGATCTATATCTGACATGTTCATGGTGCAACTATATTACTATAAACAAAATAACTAACGGGGACTGTGCCATGCATGGCTTGTTATACTTATTATGGTCCATAGATCATCATGCAACTATCTTTTTTTTTTGAAAAAAATTTAATAAAATTTACCTACTGCTTCTCAGATTGCTCTATTTCTCAATTTCTCAAAGGAAATCTCTTTGCTCTCATAAATTGCCCTGTGACTTTTATACCATATATTACATATACAAAATAAAAATGTTTTTTTGTTGTTCTTTTTTCAATATACAGGTGAACGTCCTGCACGATTAGCTGGACCACCTCCACCATTGCCACCTTCCCGAGGTCCAGGCCCTCCAGCTCCATCACGTAGTGGCCCACCTCCACCCCCTCCACCTGGACGTGCAACAGGACCACCTCCTCCCCCTCCCCCATCTAGAATGAATGGAGCCCCTCCACCACCACCACCCTCTCGAGGACCTTCACAAGCCCCTCCTCCTCCTCCCCCTAATATGTCATCTCGGGCACCACCACCTACTTGCCCTCCTCCACCGCCTTCTTCCTATGGTGCTCCTCCACCTCCTCCTGGTGGACCTCCACCTCCACCACCACCTGGACCCCCACCACCACCTTCAAGTGGACCCCCACCACCACCGCCACCTCCTATGCCCCCTTCAGAACCCGATGCTCCAGCTCCGTCTTCTGGGAGATCAGCACTACTTGGGCAGATTCAGCTAGGTGCATCACTAAAGCATGTGGATCCTTCAGAACAGAAAGCGGCAGCACCTTCAGATACCAGAGGAGATCTATTATCACAGATAAGACAGGGACGCTCACTCAAACCTGTAAGGTTCTATTGAATTCTGATGACACATAGTTTCTAAAATTCAATGTCTGCACAACAAGAACAACATTCATTATTAAGTGATCACTCTAAAATTACAAGAATTAGAAAAAGTCTGCATACATGTGTGCATATCACAATTCAATCAAATATGGTTGGTTTGATTTTGTAAGTTAGCCATCTACTGGTTTAAAATTGAATCTGAAATTGACATTTTTTTTGTATTCCAATCAATGTCTATGTGGTTCTCATTTTGGTGAAACACTATTAATCATCAAATTAGAATTTATTAGTTTCAATCATAAATAGTAGGTAAACAATATAACCTGTTAAATTGACAACTTTCTCATACAACCCACAAAAATACTCGTTATTGACTCTCACTTCAAGGTAGTGACATTGATTAGTAACAATTTAATTGTGATTAGGGCATTTTCTACCAGTTACTAAGCATGTTACTATGGCAATGTAGATATTTTTCAGGGAACTGAGGTCTAGAAGATACAATCATGTAATTTTTGTTTAAACATTTTTCTGTCCTGCCTTTTTTTTTTTTCATGGGACTGACTGTTCCTCACTGTATGTTCATTCTGTGTTTTCAATTTCTTCACTGTTCACAAAATAATGACTTGATGTGTTGCTTAAGGGAAAAAAGTCAAGCCAAACAACATAATGCTCCCTAAAGCAAGAGCTCCACAAATGTAGGAGCTTATAATAATAATACTTTGCTGAAGAATCAGGATAGCGGACTGGATAAAAAGTGATATAAAAAAACTGTAAATTACATGTTTTTGCATTTGCCGAGCTCTTTCGTTTGGGAGTATTATGTTGTTGTATAATGTTGTTGACTTTTTCTTCAATGGTTTGTCTGTCCGCCCAGCATCAGGGAGATTGTGGGTTTGACTCCCAAGGTCAGATGCAGACTCTAAAATCTAGAGTATATACTGCCCACTTGACAGGCTTGCAGTATTTAGTGTTGGGAATATAGTATGCAATCATGAAGGAAATAACGTTATGTTTCTCTGTATAAGCTATATGAAAACATGTCAATATGCTGGCATAGTTTATTGTACTTGTATTTCATTTTATACCTTCAGTAAATTTATTGTTTATAGCATATAAATTAGTGCTTTGAAAGATTGACTCTGGTATGGTATTATAGTGGCAACAGACTTGTGATTGGTAGACCTGATTTCACCAAAAAGCAATCATACATTTTCAATTTCAAGAGATGGATCATAGGATAACCATGTCTAGTTTGTCTTGAAAAATACACTGAGAGCTGCTTCCTTAAAAAATATTGCATTTTAAAATTCTGTCACTGATATCATTGATTTTGATCTTACAGGTTGAGTATGATGATACCCCAGCCCCAGTGGAGCCACAGACTGGTATGGCTGCTGCTCTAGCTGCTGCCCTCTCACTGCGACATGATGTCATTCATTCATCGGGTAAGTACATCCTCCAAAAGTTTGTGGCTTGATAAAAAATAAACAGTATTCTGTTTTTTCCTGCAAATAAGCTATTTATTCTTTGTGCACAAGAGTTGATTCACTGTAGTGTTGGGCACCATGTATTTTATAAAATTTCACTGAAGATGTTTTTTTCTTCTTATGCAGATGATGATGACGATGATGATGAGTTTACTGATGATGATGATTGGAGTGATTAGATGTCTGAATCTCTGTGTGACTTCTCTAAAACTACTGACATATTTTTGTGAATACTATATAAATAACATGCATGTATTGGGTTGAGGGGAGTGCGGATGTGAGTTTGAGTTAAAAATTTTATATAAATGCACTTACCATACTGACTGGGTGAGTAAGAAAATTTGATGGGGCCACTTACAGGATTTGTATAATAACTTGTACCGGTAATAGCTCTCTAAACCACTATACCAGATACATTTCCAACAAATTAACCAAGTGTTTCAGATGATTGATGGTGATAATAATAGCATCATGAACATGTTCACTCAGTTTGGACCAAACCACTTTAATCTCAGGAACAATTTAGTAAATGTATTGACATACTTTTTGAATTGAATTATTACAGATAATGCAATATTACATGTACCATATATGATAACTTTACATTTTCCACCATCGGAGATTCTGGTTCATCCTGTAGTTAAATCATGTGCAGTGGCCCTTCCTAATTTATTTCGTTATATGATTAAATTTTTGTTCAATATTGAAATAAGTCACATAGAAGTAGCCATAGCATTGTTTGACTTCTTAGTCAGTTGCATGTATTATCAAGGAGATTATTGATCACTAACAGATTTTTACATGATTGAATTTGCTAATTATGATTTCTAGTAATGGTCTTGGCACTGTTTATTGGTATGAATCATTGTTTATCTACTATAACTGGCTAATTTTCATTCTGTTTTTATATGTTCATTTAAATGATATCAATTTTTGTTTATTTTCTTGTCATAGCAATACTTGTTTAACTCTGAGATAGGACGCAACTGATGACCAAGTTACTGACTTGTCTATAGACGACATGCCATTTTAGAGAATATTGGTGAACTTGTAGCTTCAAGGTTTAATGTGCAAAATCACAGTAACAAAATGTGTATGGCAGCATACTTCTGATCAACTTAGTGCAATATTTGTGTCCACACTTACTTTAGTTTATAAACATGTACAATCCAAAGTACATTAAATTGTAAGTACTTTGGGAATAAAGTTACAACCCAATCTTGAGATATGAACAGACAAGTGATATATTTTAACATTTGTATATATTTTGAAATGGAAAATGTTCAAATCTGTTGCTTGAGTTTCAAGTTTAAAATCAATTTATTAAAGTTAGTATATATGTAAGTCTATATTTAACACACAATTGGGCAATATTGTAATATTTGTGAGACTCGTTTGATTCATTGTTACCTCTTGAATTCAGAATTTTAGTTCTGCAAGTTATATAATGGACAAATATTTGTACACAATTTGTAAGACAATTGATTAAAATACCAATTAACATGCAAGGGTTGTATGTTTTACCTTAAACTTGCATATATATATATATATATATATATCAACTTTTGAGGACATAACACCTTCCTAAGATGTTTTTCATAGTCCTCGGAAAACATGAGCTATAATAATAGTTAATTAGTCCCCGTTCGGACGAAGTCCGAAAAC